CATAATTTATCAGAAGCCCATAAATCTTTTGTCATACGACACAAGCCCTCTCCCAAGTCCTATTCTCTGACATGATATTAGTTGTCAGGTGTTCAGCCTCGTGCTCTTTGTTTTTCAAAGTCAGAGCGAGGCGTTGAAAATATCACCTCAATCCCAAGTCTTTCAGAGTCCTCTTCAGTAAACTAGTATGTCCCAGGTTTCTTCTGGTAGTAGAATTGGCTCGCATAGTATCAACTGAAATACAAAGCTGCTGAATTATTAACAAAGTCTACCTCAGGCCTCAGAACACACTCAGGGAAGGCGCACCTAACCATTAGCAGGGCCAGGTTTGCAGACTCCTAGCCTTTTACAGTCATCAACCAGAGAACGGGGTCTTGTCTTCCTGCATTCGGGGGGAGGGCTCTGTGCATCTGTTGGCACCAATGAGCCCCCTTAGTATTCTGTCTAGGAATGTGTTATTCCCAAAAAACTGTCAGGCTGCTATTGTCTTTCCTCCTCAACCCTAGTGAAGAGTGGTGTTTAGCAGAATAAAGACAAAGACTTTTCTAGCATAATAATGCTGAACTTATGAGAAAACAGTCACTATTAGCAAGTGAAGAGGTGATTTGTCTTGAGCTATTTTACCTGGATGGGGTTGAGCCTGTGGACAGAAAGGGGGCCACATGTTAAACCTGACAAGCTCAGGAGGCTGAAAATAACCACAGAGGATGGCATGAACATAAAAATTCCTAACAAAGGTGGGCCATGGTGGGGAGTCACATCCTTGTCCTGTAGCTTCCTTGACGAAGGTCAATCTTTACCTTAAGCCTGTCTGTAGTCTTTTTTTGCATCTAAGATAACATACAATATCAGAGTAACCTCTTTTTCCAGACCCACATGGGGCACAACCCACCACACCAGAGCAGGAAACTACAAAATCCCTAATTGTTGTCTTGTTCCCCAAATACTATCTCTATGTGCTGTAAAATGCTATTAATTATACTGTACCCACCAATGTAAAAGAAGTATGTATCTCTCCATTTTACTTTTTATCCAATTTCAGAGATTTCCCTGCTTTGCTTTCTCCCACCCCCTTAATCTACAACCAATGGATTTCATGTAACCTTCCTCCTTTGATTCTAATGTATAAAATAAGTTGCAAAACGGCCATTTTCTAGAGCATCTTCTCAATCCATTGAAATTTTGCTTCCCGGCAATTGTTATCAGTTTGGCTCAAATAAACTCTTATAAATTTTCTCTTAGGCTGGATATTTTTCTTCGGTAGGACTGACCCTCAAAAATCTCAAGTGTCTTTCTTGCTTCTCCAAGAGAGACCAGGACCCTGGAGGAGGAGAGGTGAGAGAGGGAGTCTAGAGAAAGATCCCAGACCCCATCCAAGGAGGACTCTGTATGAATTGAAAGGTCTATGATGAGAAAAGAGATGTTTTGCACCATTCATTGGTCATTGTGTTTATCAGCCAGCAGGATTATTTCCTATCTGTTCATGAATGGTACCTGCTGTTGGGGGCTTACAGTGTGAGATGTCAGAGTGGAGAGAGGTACTCGGCAAGATTTCATCACTCTTTGGGTAATGACACCAGACTGCCTTTTTAGCACACATATTTGGTGTCTATCCCAAGGAGGAAGTTAAATTTAGCACATTTCATGCTAGCCACTGAACAGGGAAAGACTTCCCTGGTCTTGGATTAGTAACAGTTTTTAAAGTCTATCTGTAGAATCTCTTCTTGTAAACTGCTAGTCCTTTGAGCTCAAGTTTATAGCATGAACTGTTACCATAAATCCTGAGAACATACCAGGAAAGGTGCTGATTGGCTGGTATGTTCAGAGTGATGTCTTAGTCCCAGCCCTGAGAATGTTAGGAATGCCCCAGTCATGTTAAGACAGGGGATTGTAATGGTGGCACTAAATCTTCTATTTTAAGATTTGGATCTCTGGTCTTTTTGAAAGTTTTCTTTTCTTTCTTTGCTTCTTAATAATTCTGCTTCCTATACATTTACTATGCATGCCAGTTTCAATGTTTCTATTTACTTCTGCCCAGTGCTAGCCCTGTGACTTGGGAGAGGTTTTGCAACTGTATGGGATCCACTCCTGTCTCCAACTGAAATCTACGTAACATATGCAAAGGTTGAGATAACTGGCTTAACTGCACCTTCCTCCCAACCCAACAGACAAAGCTAAACTGAGTAGAAAATTCCACTACAGGCCTAAACCACCTTAAGCCTGGAGAAACCACCAGGAATGTGCAGAATAGAAGCCATCTTACCTTAGAAGCCATCTTGTCCTGCTGTCTGCTTGCTTATGTCCTCCCCCTATAAAACTCCATTCCCCTCTTACAGGAGGTTATGGTCTTTTCTAACCTGACCTCCTGAAGCTCAAATATGCCAAATAAATTCTAATAGACCAATTTTGGTCTCCCATGACTCATTCCTCCGGCTGTCCCTAACACAAGTCAGATGGAGTGTGTGAACATGTGAGCATGATAGTGTAAACAGGATACTCAGGGTGACTTTGCGCAGACTCTTATTTCATCTGCTCCCGAGGAATGTGTTTGCAAAAATCAGATCACGTTGTGTAGCCTCAAAAAATGGTTCTGGAGCAAGCAAGAGATGAACTTTCAGGGTCACAGGGTCTACTTCTCTACAGAGGCCTTCTGGGTCAAGTGTCAGAGACACAGCATCCCTTAGACCAGTGCCTGAAGACAAGAGACATCAGAATCTCCTAAGGAATGTGTTTAAATGCAGATGTCATGGTCAGACTTCATTTAAACTTATTGAATAAAAACTCCGGGGAACATAGCCCAATAATCTATATTTTTAAAGATACCCTAGGTTGTTGTGTTATGTGAACAGGTTTGGTGACTACTGCCTCTGAAGGGGTGGTAGCATCACTCCGTGTTGACAAATTCTTTTGCTTTGTGAACGGAAAAGGGGCCACATGTTAAACCCGACAAGCTCAGGAGACTGAAAATAACCACAGAGGATGGCGTGAACATAAAAATTCCTAACTAAGGTGGGCCATGGTGGGAAATCACATCCTTGTTCTGTAGCTTCCTTAACAAAGGTCAGTCTTTACCTTAAGCCTGTCTGTCATCTTTTTTTGCATCTAAGATAACATACTCTTGCAATATCAGAGTAACCTCTTATTCCAGACTCCCTCCCTGCCCTTCACCCCCCACAGGGGGCACAACCTACCACACTAGAGCAGGAAACTACAAAATCCCTAATTGTTATCTTGTTCCCCAAATACTGTCTCTGTGTGCTGTAAAGTGCTGTTAACTATCCTGCACCCACCTATGTAAAAGAAGTACCTGTCTCTCCAATTTACTTTTATCCAATCCCAGAGATTTCCCTGCTTTGCTTTCTCCCACCCCCTTAATCTACAACCAATGGATTTCATGTAACCCTCCTCCTTTGATTCTAATGTATAAAATAAGTTGCAAAATGGTCATTTTCCAGAGCATTTTCTCAATCTGTTAACTGCTTCCTGGCAATTGTCAGTTTGGCTCAAATAAACTCTTATAAACTTTCTCTTAGGCTGGATGTTTTTTCGTTGACAGCTTTTACCTCCTAAACGTTTCCTGCACCGTTCTCCTCTGTGTGTCCATTAGCCACTGGCCAAGTCCAAGCTACCAGCATCTCTGGCCTGGACCTCTGCAGTGGCCTTACAGTTCCCCTGCAGGAACTCAACCGTCTCCAATCTGTACTCCACAGAGCAGCCAGAGTGGTCATTTCAAGTCCCAGATTGGATTCTGTCACACTCCCCACCCCATCCTGACACTCATTCCAGTTATGATTTTCTATTGCTTTTAAGATGAACTCAACATTCTTTTCACAGCCAGGGGGCTTACACGAGCAGCTCCCCACCCAGCTCCCCAGCCTCACCTCACAGCCACCATCCCTGCTATTAGGGCTTTGCATTCCATGTTCCTTCCAGATACTCCTTCCCCTCCCTTTACCTGCACTTCCTTCAGGCTCAGCTGTCATTACTTCTGAGGGAGGCATTCCTGACCTTTCAAGGGCAGCCCTTTTCCGTTGCAATTTTATATTAATTTACATAGTAATTTGATTAAGTGTGCCTCTCCATGTAGAATGTAATTTCCCATGAAGGCAGGGATCATGTTTCTTCACGATTGTAGTCTCAGTTCTTAGCATGCCATTAGCTCCAAATACCTGCCTTCTCCTCCAAACAGCTGAGTTGGCCATCAGGCAATCTTCAGTCACAAAGATGGAGAGTGTCTTGAGATGGATCAGAGCTTTGTAATTATACCCAGGAGTTCCATTCATTTCGTTAGTTCATTCATTCATCATGACATATGTAGTACTATGTGTCACTTTGAGCTGTGAAATTCTGGGCCTAGCTGGAGTTCAGCCAGAACACAGCGGGCACTATTGGTAATGATTTGAACACTTTCTTTGAACATTTGGCATGTCTCACTTCTCTTGGCTCAATGAAAACAAACATCTATTGACCATGAACTAGGTATGAGATGTGCTTCTTGTCCTTAAGTAGTTTATGATTTGGGGGGGAAAGACACATTAAACAAGTGGCTACATGTTTTGAGTTTTACAAAAGGGACAATTGAGTGTGGCATGGAGACACAGAACAGGATGTCCAAGTCCAGCCTGGGGGGTTAGAGACAGGCTTCCGTATAAGGAATATTTGAGGGGATGAGTAGGAGTTAGAAGAACAGGCTATAGGGCACAGTCCCCGTGAACTTTGGAAGAAGGCTATTTACCGAGCAGCAGGGAGCACCCAGGTCTGCCTAATTCTCCTCCTGTGAATTGGGGTATGGCCCATCTGTACTCCCCATCCATCCTGAGGGGGTTGGATGGCCTGTGCCAATCTAGGTCTAGAGGGTGGATGCCATGCTAAAGGGTAAAGGGAAAGACATGTAAGCAGGTACCTCTCAGGGCCCCCTTCTCTGACTCAGGCATTACATGAGCTGTTCAGCAGCACCCTAGCACTCTTGTCAGAGCAGTATTAAATACCATCACCACCAGCAGTTTTTACTCATTTCTTTATTAATGTAGAAAAGGAGCCCAAGATAGCTGGACCAGTAGTACAAAGCACCAGGAGTTAATATTCTGGTGAAAGGGTTGGCTTTACAAAAGTGAAGGACAGGCAGAAGCTGCCCTGGTTCTGGGGCCAGGCCCGGCCTACTGCCCCAAACCTCACAGCAGTACCTGGACCCAGCCCCTGGGAAAGGGCGACAGGTAGGTTGGGTGGATGAACTGGAGACAGATGGCAGGGACAGAGGGCCAGGCAGTGAGAACCATCCTGTGGCTGATGAGGACAGAAAACTGCTGGCATGAGGCTCCCTACTGGACCATGAGCAGGGGCTCCGAGTGGCCCTAGCCCTGGGGGCAGGTAGAGAAACCTTGCCAGGGACTGGAATCCAGACTTGGCCCTGAGTTGAAGGGCCTTTCCCTTCTCTCTCCACCAGAGGCCACCTCTGCTCTATACTACAAGCGGGGCTTCAGGGCCCAAGGCACAAAGGAGGGGAATGGAAGAAAGCACCTGAGTGTCCCCAGCTTAGGCAGCCAGGGCTCAGACACAGGGCAGGACAACAGCACCCCTGTGCAATGGGGCTGGAATGTGTGGCAGGGATGGGCTTATCCTTGGCCAGTTATCCCATGGCAATAGTGCCTGCCTCGAACCTTAGCAAAAGGAGTCTGCAATGAGCACTGGGTGTCAACAGACCTGGGTTCTGGCCTGAGTCTTCTGGAAAAGAGCTATATCACCATGGGCCAGCCATGTCCTGCTCCTCATCCGTTAATGAGGCCTTTGGATATGACCTCTCAGATCATGGGAGGGACTCTGCAGAACAAGGGAGTGCCAGGACCTGCTCTTGGTAGTTAAGTGGGAACCGGTCCCAACCAGACCCTGGACACTGGCATGGGATGGAGGCCAAGGGCTGAATGGAGGAGGAAAATGCTATTGCATGAAACCTACCCCCCACCAACATTCCAGAGCAGGGAAAGGCTGGGAGCCTCTCCTTTGTCCAGGGGAAGAGACGCCGCTCTCCCTTTTGCAGGGAGGGAACATGGCTGGGTGCAGGCCCTTTACAACCACCATCTGGGTGACACTTGGCATGGAGGGAATGGAGTGGCACTAAGCAACCCTTTGTGTTCTTCCCTGGGATGGGGAGCTCAAGGCCTCTTGTGGCTTCTGACTCCAGCCCTAAGTGTGCTGGAGTGCTCTTCGCTGTGTTCCTGTCCTATTATAGCCCAAGACTCTGCCTGGTGGCACATGTTAGTTGGTGAGGAAAGGACAGAGGGGTGAGTAAGCAGACAGGGAGGCGAATCTCTGGCTTTCTCCTCTTCCTCTAGTGAGAGCAACTCAATCAACCGAGTCACAGATCTCTTCCACCATAGCATTGAAGATGTGTGGCTGGTCTGCATAGACATGGTGTGAGGCACCCTCAATCTCCTGTGGAGAGAGAAACCCGTCAGGGGTGGGAAAGCACTTTACTCCGGGCACTGGAAAGCTGTAGAACCACTTTTTTTCCTTTAGGCCTGCTTGCCCATCACCCATGAGAACTTATCAGAAACAATGGTCCACTTTGCTCCTCACACCTTGGCACTTTCCTGCGGGAGCCAATGACTCTCAATATCCCATTCTCCTTCTCCCATGGCCATTCCCTGTATCTTGCCTTCCGTGCTAGCCTCACCACTGATCTGCTCATCTCACCCAGGGCCCAGTAGGCACTCAGCCTAATTAAGCACATTCATTAGCAAATGAGGGTGGAGGGTACAAAGAAAAAAGGGAAGGCAGGAGTGTGGTGAGGTGTCATGGCAGCCTCTACTGCTCGTTCTACTGTCCACGGCTCCGGTTTTGAGTGGGAATTACAGTGAGGATGGAGGGGTAGCATGATGTCTGTGTCTGGCTACTGGGCAAGAGCCTGCCTTTTCACTTAACTGGGCTATACAGAAGAGAGAGACCCCTAAATAGGAAATAACAGAGAGCCAACCCTTTCAAATCCACTGCCCCGTCTCAATCTGTCCATCGCTCTTTACATGCTGACTCTTCCTTCCTTCACCCTTCTCTACTCATCCATGCTGAGAGTCAACTAACGGGTGCTGGCATTGAATGCACAGCTTTTCCATCTCAGTCCTCCTCCTTGGGTGGCCAACGTACCATATCTCGGACATAGGAATCCGGCCGTTGCAGCTTCACCTTTTTTCCCGTGCTGGTATCTATCCAGGTGTTGGCCCCATAGATCATGGTGATGGGCACATCTTTTCGAATCAAGTGAATTCGCTCTAACATGGGGCGCCGTGCCCAGCCAAAGGACTCCATCATGGCTTTGAACGCCGTCTCACCACTAAGAAGCAAAATAGGGTGAGGCAATTAGTAGAATAAAACTCGCAACATAAAATGTCAATTTGTTGGTCTTTTCAGAGGCTGAGGCAGTATTTTCATCATCTTGGTATTCCGCTCAAACCCTGGGTTTGACTCATTAAATATTGGTAAGATTAGGAGCTAGGACTATCCAGAGACCTCCTATCACAGAATAGTTAGAGGGACACGCTTATAAAAACCCTCATGGCACAGGGAATTGTCCAAGAATGCAATGGGTTAAGATTTATTTAACAAATATTTATGCGTCATGCTGAGCTGAGTCAGAGAACATATGAACAAGAAAGACGCAGTACCTGCCCTCCTGCAGCTCCCATTTTAGCTCACACTTTAGGCACTACATAACGAATTATGTGATTAATTATTTAAGTTCAAATTTCCCAAGAATTATGAAAGGTTGGTAGTGTCATGAGAACAGACTAGGGACTTGGCCTGTAAGAGGTGGAGGAAGAAGGTGAAGGAGTTCATTTGAGGTGGACTCTGAAAGGCGAGTACTATGGTAGTACAAAGGGTGTCATGAGGAGACCGGAAAGAAACATCACTCTTGCGAGGACCTGGGGGGAGCAGCAGTTTGTGCTAGGTGAGAAGCAATGACTGCCAATCGAATCTACTTTGCTTTCTGGTCATTTCCTTAGGTAGAGCTAACTAAGCCCTATCATGAGAGGCCTGCAAAGCTGGGATGGAAGCAGCTTTCTGGGCTGGTCTGTAGCTTTGAGTGAGGCAGAGGAGGGACAGCCTCTTATTAGGCTCAGGCTGTTCAGGGTATTATATCCGTGGTCTCTTTCGCACCCCTGGGATGAGGGGATTAAGGAAGAAACAGTTCTTCCTTAAGACATCATAGCATAATGGAAAAAAATCAGACTCTGGAGTCAGAGAGACATGACTTCAAATCCTGACTATACTCTTAGCAAAGTGTGTATACCAGAACACACTTTAATTTTCTCATCTACAAATTAGAGAGGAATTATACCTACTTTATTAGGTCACGAGGAATTATACCCACTTTATTAGGTCATTAGGTGAGGAAAATGAAAATATGGACAAAGCCCATATGTTTAGGTGAAATAAAGTAGGTATCCCCTCCCCCCCAAATATTTTTCCTTGGCCAAATTTCATGTTTTCCAAGGAAGTGGTAAGAGTTACCTTGAGCTTGTCAGGGTTACAATTCAGAAACCCTCAGGGGGTTATAAAATTGAGTGATGGTGTTTGGGGGGAGGGGACTGGTTATCACTGATGTCCTCTCTGCTTCCTCCAGGACAGGAATGAGTCCCATGATTATATATTCTGTGGCTTAGGTTGGGAGGCCATTATACAGAACTAGGTCTAGGACTGGGGAGCGTTCTGAGGAAAGGGCTAGGGTTGGGTCTGTGGGGCCTCAAGTGGGCATGAGACTGGCACTGAGCCCAGTGGGGACTGAAAGAGGGGTCAAGAGCACGAAGCAGGGGGCTACCTGATTTGACTGTTGAGCTGAGTTTCTATACTGCTGCCTAAGTGGGGCCTTTCAATTAGTTGAGCTCACGAGGAATGTTGGATGGACAGTTCCCACGCTGCCTGAAAGCTGTCTGGGTTTGAGGCTAATGCTCAGACAGTATAACAAACGTCCCTCTTCTTCACAGCTTTGGCTCACAGCGGGGGACCTAGACAGGCCGGGAATGAGGTGGGGCAGTGCTGCTGCTCGCAGGGACCTTGGCTCCCCTGAGATGCCTCCCAGCAGCTTGGGGTGAAGCCAACACAGAGAGGGTGCCACCAATGCATTCTCCTGGTATCAGCCACTCACACAGCATGGCCTGAGGGGAAGGTTACCTCCCTGATTGCCCTGGCTGTCAGCTGCCAAGACTGCAGATCAGCAGGCTTGCAGGGCCTGCTGTGTGAGTAGTCACAGATAGGAACTTCTCAAGATTCCAAATGACTTGGAAGGAATTCCTATCCCCAAAATAAGTATTCCAAGGGGCACATAATTAAATTTTAGAATGCACTTTCTTTCAATCAGCAACTCTCTTTACAGGAATGTATTCTATAGATATAGTCACGCATCTGCAAAGGAAGATGGGCAAGGAGGTTCTCGGAGGCAATGTCACGTGCTGTCTCAGACTGCAAATAACAAGGAAATTTGGGAATTACAGGTCTGGGACAGAGGACTTCTTTCTTTTTTGCCTTTATAAAAATACCATGTCCACATCACCTTTTTAGTATTAAAAATAAAAAAGATGTTTTCACATGTTTTCCAGACTCTTGCTTATCAGGCTAATTGCCTATCTCCAGGGAAGAGTAAAAGTCCTCCTCTAGAGACAATGGCAATTTTAATTAATCTATTATCTTCGCTGTCCCTTTGTGCTTATCCCTGGGGAAGCCTCTGGAAATAACCAAGCCTGCTAATGCCTGTGGTCCCCTAAATGAATAAGAGATTTGTGGAAGAATAAACACAGCACAGAACGATCCTGGGGCAGTTCCGGAGTTTTCCAGCAGTTGGAGTTTTATCCCCAAACCTGTCCACCCCAAAGCTGGCTCTGGGGGCTGCCTGCACCTGGGATTCTGTGCGTTGCAGTGGTAGATATACTCCGATATAGTATCATCTTCAAAGAAGTCTGCAAACTTGCGCTTGAAGTCTGGTCGGAATCGCTGCACTAGGCCAGGCCCTGGGAGGGGATAGAAAACAATGGAGTGGCCAGTTTGGGGTGGGGGGTGTTTAAACAGTTTTAACAACTTTCACCAAATATTATTGCTCCTAAAGGTTTGTTTGCTTTGTACATTTAACCTTATAGTGGCAGAAAGAGTGTGCGAGTCTTTCAGGAAGCTCCAGATGACTACAAATGAGAGTCAGTTGGTTACCAAATAATTTTTAACAGTCTAACGTCACTGAGGAATCAGATTATTTTCAGCTCAATGAAGTCCCAAGGTCTTTTCCTCCAAGGATCGCAAACCCCACAAGCGTCCATGGTTGAGAGGCTTTCCTTTTACAGTCTGAGCTATTCTCCCTGAGACCCTAATGGCCTTCTAATCTTCCAAAGACAGTGGATAAAACTAGACCACCTCCCAAGAGCCCGCTCATGTTCAGGCCTGTAACAGAATATGAGTGGAGAGGCAATCTTAACCCTGGCATCTCAGACTCAGAGCACAGTTTTAGAGCAATCTGTTCTCTTCACCTTCTTTATATAGTTCATGAACAAGCAGTATGGCACCTAGAACAGACTGTGAAAACTGGGCCTAATTGTCACCTTCTGACTTCTCTCTCTCTCCTGGTCTTCTCTCTGCATGTGAGAAACCAGGGGTGAGAGGCAGAGACAGCCAGGATCCCCTGGGCCCTGGCCCTCCTCCATGGCTGCCAGCCAACTGCCCCAGCCACACCAGCTCTCATACCCATGCATGAACCTGGCCAGATGCAAGTTCAGAGAAGGGGAGAGGGGTGAGAGCTGGGCTTCTCCTAAACTCCTACCTTCTATTCAAATGCTAATTTTTCTCTACCAGAGCCATTCTGTTTCTCAAGAAGGGCCTAGAGGAACAACTCTTATTTGGCCATTAGCAATTAACTCATAATAATTAGCTATTGAACATTACTATGTATACATAAGCTATTGGTGTAAGATAGAAGGTCACCAGTCTTTTCCATAAAGGGAACCTGCTTTTCACTTCATCAGAGTAAAAAGCGCCCCAGAAAGTTAGGGTGCTGGCATATGAGGTCAGAAGCCTGGGACCTACTGAGTTCATTTACTCTTGCTGCCCCCCCCCCCCAAACTCCTTCCCTCCCTTTAGCCACAAAATTTGCTGACAGCTACTGAATAGTGAAGATGTGGTATCTGACTGGAGAAGGGCACGGTTTCAAGGGGTGTGACTGACACTGTGGGTTGTGTTGGAGGCTATGGTTCTGCTATCTCTCTGCTGCAGGTGCTAGGTGAGCTGCAGAGATGGGGGCCAGTGGTGGTTACCACGCTGACTTGCCAACATGTTGCCAGAAATTCACACATGTAGCCTAAGAACTCATGGCCCCTTTCTGTCTCTCTCTCTGGGGGTCTAGCCAAGACACAGAGCAGTAGTTCTGCTCCGTCTGTCCCTTGTATAGGAAAGCTTTTCCCATGCAGATGAAAAAAAACAGAACATTCTGAAACTGCAGACTAAGAGATCTGGTTCAGATTCATAGCTTTAAATAACAATGCTAGGCCCATTCCCACTTTTCAAGAACAAGTGGGGATGATGGGAGTCCAGGTACAGTAGGGCTTCTAGAATGGGACAGCCTGGGTTTGAGGAGATAGTTTCTTTATCTGTAGGCTACTCACCCCAAGGCCCAGCTACTCGAAGAACAGCCAGTGGATTAGAACGCCCTAGGACAGAGGCCACAGCCTTGAACCAGGTTGGGGGTGCACGGATCTCACTGGGGTCAGTTGGTCGGAGGGGAAAGCCCCATGGGTCCACCAGGATGAGGTGTTTAACTCTAAAGGAGGACAAAGGAGACGCTGTATTTGCTTGGAGGTACCATAGCCCTTAAATCGCCCAGGAAGAAGAAAACTACTGGAAACTAACACTGGAAGGGTACGGGCAAGGCGAGGAGTTAGGTCATGATGGAGAGGGTGGCTCCTCCTTACCTTTCAGGGTACTTGATAGAATAAGATGTAGCCAGGAATCCTCCCAAACTGTGCCCCAGGAGGATCATGCTGGGGATCCCCATGGTCTCCCGCCACGTCTCTATCGAGGTCACAAACTCATTCTCGGCCCCCTCGGGGTCCCTCGGGAATGCTGGTCTTGAGCTTCGCCCAAAGCCAAGCAGATCAAAGGTGTGCAGCGTGCGGCGGGCACTCAGTGAATCCATGTTGAGGATCCAGAGGCCCACGCCACCACCGAAGCCATGCACCATCACCAAGGGCGTGCGGTCCCTGAGCTCGGGGCTCACGGTCACCGTCCAGATCTTGTTCTGGTTGGGGAGAGACACATATCGGGCCAGGAACTTGTTCTGCAGACCTGGGAAGAGGGGATCCAGGGCAGAGTAATAAGCCCCACAGCATTATCACTTGGCCTGGACGGCTGCTCTTCAGTTCTGTCCTTCCATCCCCAAACCTGCTCTTACTTCTTTCCTTTCATGATCCTCTCACCATCCATCCTAAGAGTTCAACTTCTAATACAATCTGTAGACCATCTAGTGTGTAGGTGAAATTCCTTGAGTCTGTTTGCCTGGCTCCCTTTGGGCCCAGGGTGGCTGTGACCCCACTGACCTCACAGAACTCCCGCATCGCTTTCTCCTGTACCTGTATGTTTGGAGCTTGGGAGGTGGACAGGAGTGTCCTCACTGAGGGTCTGTGGGAGGGCAGCTTCTACCTGGAATTGAGCCAGGTGGAGGGGGGTGATGGTTGTGACCTGAGCCATGTCTCTTATTCCTCTTGGGACAGCCCAAGGTGGGCAGTGCTTGCTCTGTTGGCGTGCAGGCAGACACATGACAGAGCTGCCTGGGGGAAGTCGCTTGGATCCTGGACAGAAGCTCAAAAGCTGCTCTTTGGCTGCACTTAGGTCCATGAGAGAGGGTAGCGATGGCTGGGGCAGCGGTACAGGACAGCTAAGATCATGAAAAACACAGGGAGATGTGGCCAAAATGTCTTGTTTGAGCCAGTGGCTGCTGCTGCTCATGGGATGCCCTACCCACGAGAGCTGGTCTGTGGGAATTCCAAACTCCTGTCCCCAAACAGGGAAGCGGTGGGGCAATAGTAATATTAGAAAATACAGGGGCTGGCTGAGTGGCTCAGTTGGTTAAGAGCGCAAGCTCTGAGCAACAGGGTCGCTGGTTCAATTCCCACATGGGCCTGGTCCGAGCTGCCGCTGAGCTGCCAACAGGTAGCAGGATGGCTCAGCTGGTGAGAGCACGTGCTCCTAACAACAAGTTTGCCAGTTCGACTCCTGCATGGGATGGTGGGCTATGCCCACCTGCAACTAAGATTGAATACGGCACCTTGAGCTAAGTGGCCACGAGGTGTCAATGGGCACCCAGATGGCAACTGGACTTGGAGGCTGAGCTAGCTGTACACTCCACAACTAAGATTAAAGGGCAGCAACTTGGCTGTTCCCCTTCCCCAACCTCCAATAAAAAATAAAAAAAAGAAAATATAGGACTGCTGGTCCTTGGGTAGGAAGGTGGTAAATCTAAGTGCTTGTGTGTTTGGAAGAGAGAGGGAGAGAGGAAAAAGAGAGGAATTGGGGGAGAAGGAAGAAGGCAAAGAGAGATGTGTATGTTTGTGTGTGTTGTGTGCTAATAGTTGGTGTAGGGTTGGAGGTGAAGTTGCGGGATGTGTGTGGCAGGAGCTAGCTAGCATGGTGGACAGGGAGGGGGACGTCGAGGAACCATTATAGAATATGGTGTCCTCTGTACAAATCTGTTCCCTCAGATCACCCACCGCCCTTCCTCCCACCCCCAGGCATTGTTAATCAAGAGTCACTGGGCTCAATGTACCAAGCTCTGGGAAGACCCTGTATCCTCTTTGGGTCTCCTGAGGGAGGTGGCACAAGCCGTCCCTTCTACTTACACTGGAGGATCCTGGCTTCCACATTCTTCAGTTGAGACATCGAAGTGGGGCGCCAAGTGGGCAGCCAGCTACTCAGCCAGCCTTGAGGCCTGGGACAAGGAGACACAGAGACGCTCATTGGCAACATTGGAAAGGAAACATTGATGCCTTCAGCCTTGCTGACAGTTACAAAACAGTGATCAGGGTGCAGGGTGTTACCTTCCACTATGGCAGTCAGCAATTCCCTCACTGCTTGATAGAGTGTTACTCTTCCCTGGTAAATGGCTATTAATAACAACATGCCCTCTGTTCCAAGGAGACTCAGAATACCATGTGCAGAGCACCTTACAGTTTACAAAGCACTTTCACATTTGGTATCTCATTTGAGCTTTATAATACCTTTTGTTACTAGTTTTCATAATGTCCAAGGAGATTACAAGGGTGTTTAAAAAAGCCAACTTTTAACTAATGTTTCAGTTATCTTTTGCTATCCCCAGGACTGGATGTTCCTTTAGAGTAGGACAAATTCCCATGCCATCTACCCTCCTGGCAGGGCTCTGGGGTTTGTGTGTGCCCTCTTCCAAGCCCCTGGAAGTACAGAGCACTGTCAGTCCCAGTCGGGCTCTCAGGCAATCCTTGAGCAAAAAGATGGGATAGGCAGGGAGCAGGAGATAGGAGACCTGGGTTCAAGTCCTGCTGTGACTCACTGATTGGACACAGCTTGCCTCTGGACTTGTTTTCCAGATTATAAAATGAGTAGAAACTTCACATAATCCTCACCTTTGGTGGCATGCAATAAAAACAGATACGATAACCTATTCTGCTTTCTCCTTCATACCCCAGGGGACTTCAAGTCATTGCAGGGTAGAAGTTGAAAGCACCAGTTCTGGAATTAAAAGAACAAACAAACCAAAAAAAACCTTGCATCTGAGTCACAGTATTATCAGTTATGAGTGGAATAGCTTTGGCCTGATAAATAACCGGACTTTGGGCGTCCAGGTATGTAAGAGACCTTGCAAGGTGCCCGGGACAAATTAGATGCCCAGTGAATGAGTTTTTATTATTCCTTTCCCATCCCATATGATATTTCTCTTTTCTTGATTTCTGTCTGGGTGAAGGGGATTACAGGATGGACACTACCAGCTATAGGAAGGGCCTATGAATGTGGGCATAGTCACAGGGGCATTCTGTGGGAGAACGAGAGGAACCATTACCAACTCCCCCCACTTAGTACACACTGGGCATCCTGGTACATTATTTGAATCACAGAATTTTAGATTAGGATGGTTTCTTAGAAACCATCTAGCCCAGCCTTTTTATTTTACACATGAGCAAACGGATGCCCAAAGAGGTCATACAGGTAGTTAGAAAAAGCAGAACTAGAACCCAGATCTCAAATCCAGAGTTCTCTGTACCTCTCCTCTGGACATTCCAGTCTCAGCGCAAGGCCATACATGAGTACTCACACTATGTAAATCATTTTGACACCGGTCTGTTTTCTGAAAGGAGATGTGATCTAAAGCCAGGCACTGCCATTTACCAGCAATGTGGCTGTGGCCTTCCTGTGTCAATGTTTCCTCATCTTTAAATGGGAGGTAATAATAGTATCTACCTCATAGGATTGTTATAAAGATTGAGTTAATGCACCTAAAACACACAGAATAATGCCTACCACAAGATAAACTCCCAATAAACGCTTTTCCCACCAGCTAAATCATAAGCTATCTATTGGGTTGTCAGAAAAGTCATGACGCATTTTTGCAACAAAAAACATAGAAAAAATACGTCACGACTTTTCCAACAACCGAATACACTCCCAATGTTTTGTAAGTAGCCACTCTCGATGACAGTTTGGGATTTGAAAGAAATACTGGGTTTGCAGCTGAGAATGATACATCAGTGACAACTCTCCAGGTGAGAGTTGTCAGTCTCAATCAGTTCAACACTAAGGAAACTCAAAATCCTTTTAATTCTCCACTGGAATTCCACGTAAACTTGAAGCATGTGCACCAAGACCACAGAACTTTGCGTCTTCAGAGACAAACTTTCTCTCCACATCATAGAGACCGCAACAAGTCAGACCACGACATCTGGACCCCGCATTGTATTTTATCTGCAGCATTCGGGAGAAATGTTGTTCCATGGAACAGCACCACGGATGCTCAGCAGATATTCGGGGAGTTTTATTTTGCCTCTCTACAAAAATGTTACAAATACAGCACTGGAAATAGTGCCTGGCACATTGTATCTGCTCAATACAATTGGGAGGTGAGGGCAGGAGGGGGCGGGGAGAGGTTGGAGGTGGATAGGGGCAAGGAGCAGAGAAGCCACTTAGCCATGAACTTAGCCCGGCCAGGGTGGTCTCTTCCATCTAGAGCATTTTTATCCTGATGGGGGTGAGGCAGAAGGGGTTCTGTGCTGGGTCAGCAGCCTGTTGGACCTCTGTGATCCTGGGCAAGTCTCCTAACTTCCATGGGCACGAGTGATGTGGACCAAGTGAGTAGACCCCACCTCCCACCCCACTGGACAACTTTTAAATCTCCTCTTCCCTAATGTCTTAGCCCCTGGCTTTGATTACTCTTCGAATCAGTTTCTGAAACCTAAACTAAAGATTGCCCCTAGACTGAATCACAGAATATCTCTCACCCACCCTGGCTTTAGATAACTACTTAAAACCTGTGACTTCCAAACATTCCCCAAGCCATTCTGGACCTAATCCCATCCCAGAGACTAAATAGGTTTTAACATTTCCCCAGGCCAGTATACTTGTTGATTGTAAATGCTAAAGACTAATGTTCTTTCCAAACCCGTAGCCACCCTACATCAATAGCTTTGAGCTCTGCTCTTTAAGAAATTTATTAATTAAAAAATATTTTTCCTCATTTAGGGGCCTTGGGGTACAGAGGGTACCCCAGCAAGATTGCCAGTACCAACCAAAGAAGCCAACACGGTCTTCCAGGCGGATCTCGAGACCCCTTCCTCTCAACTGAGATCAGATAGGGTGAAAGTTCTGTGAATCCCCCAATAGGCAGGGACAGCTCTACACCCCTGCCCAGGAGGAAGCAGATACTGAAGAAAAGACCTCCTGTCCCTCAATTTTCCATAGAGATTTTATGGGGATCATATCTCTCAAGGGGAAAACAAGGCAGGTAGTGGGTCTCTGCATTCTTGCACATCCCACAGAATGCACCACCCAAAAGACCTCCCCTCTCCACCCAAAACCTCTCTTTTCTTCTAATAAACTTTTCTAAAGAGATGAGATCAATCAGGTGGTCCCATACCCAGAGAGGAACAGCCCATTCTCGAGGAAGAAGGGATAAAAACTCCAAGTCTTGGCCAGTCAATGCCTTTTGAGCTTCCTTTGCTCGGCCCGCTCCAAACTCTTTGGTGTACTTTCTTTTCTAATAATGGCCCTTGAGCCATTCTCTACTGCTCGGGCCCGCTTCTGCTTCTCTGAAATGTACTGTTACTTTTAATAAATTCCTTTTCTGCAACTTTACCTCTCTGGTCCATGTCTCCTTTCTTTGGTTCCATGAGGCCAAGACCCCGGCACAAGAAATATCCTACATCATTAGCTTCTTCATTTGTAAAAGGGGGGTGAACTAACTGTACCGCAACCAGTTCTAATACTGTTTCCCTAAATCATTGTAGCTATTGGATACTTTCTCTTGGAAAAGTCATCATAGAAAGCAACACTCCGCTGGGCAGTTCCTTCAAGCACAGGAAGCTGTTCTTGTCATAAAGTTAATTCATTTTGCAAGCTACCTATTCTGCAGCTCTGAAAAGTGGGAACAGGATCCAGGAAAGGCCCTGTTCTGGTGAAACCAGGGCTTGGCTGGGAGCTGAGTCATTGTGCAAGAAACTTTTCCTGGTTCCTATCACACTGGGAAGGGCTAGTCACACCACCTACAGGTGGCATCCCAAACCTGATGCCCTTGAGACAGTGGTAACAAATCCCAAAAGCTCTACTTTTGAGACCACATCATAAAGGATATTGTCATGATGATTAAAAACATTATCAACTAGGATCATAAGCTGAAAAGAGTCTTGGTGGGCTAGAGCTAAACACAGTTTGCAAGCCCATTAGTCCAATTAGATCTATTCCAGCGCGGTGGAGCCCTCTCTCCTCTTCCCAGGCCCTCCCCTTGCCCGGCTAAGCGAGATTCTTCCCACACCCCTGACTTCCGTCCTGGGGCAAATCCAGAAGAGTAGACTTGGCTGCTACTCCCGCATCCGCGTCCCCGAAGCGTTCTGGGAGGGCATCTCAGACATTCCCAATAAATCTAATCCCATAGCACAGCGGCTTAGAGGAGAACGAGGAGCGATCGCGAAGACTAAGGTGGAGAGTCCGAAACCCTGAGCTGCAGGCAAACTTATTTCCCATCGCTCCCCGGGTTCTGCTGCCGCCTTTTCTGGGCAAAAGCAAAGCAAGCAAACGCAGCCCCCCGCCTTCCCCTGAAGCCGACCTGAAACAGGAAAGGCGGGAAGGTGTCTAAAAGTGTTCCACAGCCACAGAGAGTCCCACGATCATGGCCCAGAGAGAGAGAAAGAGAAAGAGAAAGAGACAGGATTAACTCACTGCTCCTCCAGATCATCAGCCATAGTAAACAAGCCCTGCCGAGTAGAGCCGAGCGGGCACATCCCTCCCCCTGACGCCAGCACCAGCTGACCCAGAAAAGGGTCGGGTAACACAGCGGGGCGGGGCTAGCGCGGCCTGGCGGGAGGCCGTCCCCACCTGAACCCCGACTCAGACTCTGGCCTTGAACCTCCGCTGATGGGCGGGCCCAGGACGCGAGTGCGGTGGGGGAGAGAGGTCTCTGCGGTCTAACAGAACAGGACGGTAAACCTGGTCACACATTTGGGGGACAGTGAGGGAGATGAGTAGTATTGAGCAACCGAGTCCCTCACAGGAGGCGCTCCACCAGCCCTCCATTCTTTCATAATTAAAAAGTGACAGAACTACCCCTGCATGCTCCGCACACACTTTTTGGGCTTCCCTGTTATGGCTCCGGTCCCTCCGCGCCCCCAACACCCAAGTCCTGGTGTTCTTTTGAATCAGATGCTTTTGATGTTTGTGGAGACCACACCACTGGTGGAATGCTCCTACAAAGGACCCGGGGCCCAAGTAGATTGCCAGATTTCACAAATAAAACACAGGTTGGATTTCAGACAAACAACACATACTTTTATAAAATAAGTATGTCCCATGCAATATTTGAGACATAACTGGGCATCCTGTGTTTTATCTGGCAACCCTAAACCTAAGTGACATATGCCAAGATGCAATCCCTTTTGCTCTGGCAATTTCCCAACTTGGTTCCCAGGAAGATGTGGCCAAACCCCAGGTCTCCCACAGTTTGGAGGATTCCCACCTCCCCTCCCCTCAGTAGGGGCACTTGAAGGACTAACCTATAAGGCTGGGCCTCCTTTATGTAACTAGAATGGGCTGTGAGGACTTGGGGATGGAGTGGCTGGCTTAGCTCAGAGGCTCTGAGTGTACTTCAGACTAGCTCAGCAGAGGAGCCAAATTTAGGCTGGCTCTAAACTTTATCTGAACTGGTAAAAAAATTTTTTTTTTAAAAAGGGGCCTGATGTCCCTGGTCAGCTGTCAGATTTCAGGTCTTGGTTAGGGTCTACCCTTTTAGGTTCTTCCTTGGTTAGGTCACATTATTTTATTTTCTTCATAACACTTTCACTATCTGAAATTATCATGCATATTTGTTTACTCATTTATTATTAGTTTCCCTCCACTAGAGCCTAAGGTTCACAGGGGAACTTTTCTGTTTTATTCTCCCCTTTGCTGCCTGCACCTAGAACAGGATGTGGCACAGAGTAGATGTTCAGTACTTATTGGGCAAATAAATGGATGAAATTATAGCAAGGAGGCAGAAGTGTAAACAATTACTATAAAACAATGTGCTAAGTGCCAAAGGTTTGGGCCCTGTATTCTAACTTGTACCACATAGGAAATTCCAGGCAATATTACTTCAAGACAGGGCAACAAAATCTCCCACTTTTCTGAAAACCTGTAAGATGCAGAACTTTTTGAGGCAAGAATGAGCTGGCTGGAACTGGTATTCGATCTCTCTAGACCTCACCTCAAGAGGAAATGCAGAGAAGCATTTGTGTTTTGTTTCCATATGCCAAACCAGCTTTACATTAGAGCTGGCTTGGAAGTAGGTGTAAGGTACTGTTTGCCCTGAAGGCCAGCTCAGCCATGCAGTAATGGGTGCACACCTGGCATCCTGCTAGGCCTGAAACCCAGTGGGAAATACATCATCCATATTCTGCTTGGCACAAGTAGAAATTTTTCGTTGCCTTGCCCCCAGCCATTGCCACCATCGGCTGTTGCCACCAGTTACTTACTCCACCCTATAAAAACTAGACCCTTCCCTTAGTCGGGGCTGATGCCTCTCACGGCCTCAGCCCGGCAGGTTAATAAACTTGCTCGCTTGAATATTGGTGTCTCTCGCCCCCTGTCTCCTCGGCGAACCTTTCAGTAGGAAACTTGAACATATGAAAAACCATATAACCAAAGTTAATAGATCCCTCATGGTGTCCTCAGAACTGGGATATCTCAGGATTGGGCTGGATCTGCTAGAATTATAGAGTGGAAAAGACTCTCAGTGCCTGCCTTAGGCAGGCCTCTGGGGAGAAATGAAAGGTACTTTTTTCTTTTGTGTCTTATCTTTAAGACAAGACACAATATGTGCAAGTTTGAAAGAATGCATTTTCCTTTTACCTCCAAATGTGTGATTTTATGTATGATTGAAGTACTAATATGGTCTTTATGCATAAAAACTAATTTTGACAAACCCTCTTTTCTGTGCCTGTAAGTTACATTAAATATTCCAGAAGTAGGTGGAGCTGATAACCTGATAGCTCAGGTCTGGCAGGGATGGATCATTCTTTGGTTTCAAATGGATGTTATTGCCTTTTGAATGAACTACGAACAAGGTGTGGCCCTTGGTTTAAACCTAGGAAATGAGTGGAATAGCTCTTAAATTACTCTGTCCAGTATGATAGCCACTAGCCACATGTGGTTACTTAGATTTTAAATTAATACACATTATATAAAAGTTTCTTGTCACACTAGCTACATTTCAATTGTTCAATAGCCACATGTGGCTAGTGGCTACCATATTGGACAGCACAGAGACATTTTCATCATCACAGAAAATTATATTGGACAACGTTGCTCAAGCACTGATGATTTCAGCCCCATGTGTGGAGAGTGTTCTGCCCTTGGAAAGGACAATGTGGTAGACTCTGTCTTGGGTGCCAAGGATGGAGCAAGATTGAAGGCTTCTCTTTATGGGACTCCCAAAGAGCTAAGAGGGAAGGAAATCTGACAAAGGAGCCTGCAAAGTTGTTCCACTCCATCAGAGACTGCAAAGACAGTTTTGTTAGGATAAAGGGATATGGACTCATTGAAGATATTTGCTGCTTTACTAGGACTTAGATCAGAAACTTGATACTTTAGAAATTTGACAGCAATTTGACTTTGTGCTGTTTGCAATTTGATTCCTCTTAAAATTTTTCTTCTGAAAATAATAACCTATTAATCTGTTCTATTAGGAAATACGGTAAAAGAAAAAATGATTTCTTTTTCTGTACTCACATCAACACTTCTGACACCAAATGTATGGGTCCTTTTACACCAAGCATTTTTCTAATTCTTGGAGTACACCAACTGACTGTCCTACAGTTTAACTCAATTGTGACACTAACTGCCCTGAGTTAGTGCAGACTCCATGGGTTACTGGCTCAGTCCCACAAGACTGTCCCCTACCCCTACTTCAGACACCAATCTCAAGTCCAGGTTTATCACCTGTGTTTTTGACAGCTATAAATTGGGGGTTCCCACCACTCTCTCCTCAGGTTCAATAATTTTCTAGAATGGTTCACAGAATCCAAGAAAACAGTTTACTTACTAGATTACTAATTTATCATAAAAGAATACAACTCTGGAAAAGCCATATGGAAGAGATGCGTAGGGCGAGGTATGGAGAAAGGGGCACAGAGCTTCCATGGAAGGTGTCTAACCCTTTCAGCACTTGGATGTATTCAGTAACCCATAATCTCTCTGAACTCCTTTGGTTAGGGATTTTTTAATGGAGGCTTCATTACATAAGCATGATTGATTAAATCATTGGCCATTGGTGACAGGTGACTGAACTCAATCTCTAGTCTCTCTCCCCTATCTGGAGATCGTGGGTGGGGGGAGAGGGGTGTTGGACTGAAAGTTCCAACCCTCTAATCACATAGTTGTTTCCCTTGGCAACCGGCCCCCACCTTTAGGGGTTTTCCAAAAGTCACTTTATTAACATAAACTCAAGTGTGGTTGTGTGGGGAAGGAAGCTGTCTTCTACACCTTCAGGCTCTTCCAGCTGGTCTAATAATCAAATAGATATGAGACAGATTAACATGAGAAAATAACCAAATTTAATTACATATGTACATGTGTGTGAACCCCAAATACATGAGAGAGTTACGTGAAAGGTTCAGAGACAGGAAGAGAAAATGAGGTATAGTTGACATTCTGAGCTAAGGATGAGTGAGGCAAAGCACGTTGGGGATTCAGAGAGGAGGAAGATCATTCTCAAAAAAATAAGAAGAGCCGATGTTCAGTAATTAGAAGTTATTAGAAGAACACATGGATCATAAAAAGTTATTTCTGGTGATGTCTTTTATTATGGGCAAGGACTCTAATTTAAAATTTTTCTTTTTTCTCTTTTTTTATTTTCTTTTTTATTGGGGAATTAGGGGATGGGAACAGTGCTGGGGAATTGGGGGAAGGGGAACAGACAAGTTGCTGCCCTTTTGTTCTTCAGTGTAGTTGTGCAGGACGTTGCTTCACTGGCCCAAGTTGGCACCATCATTGCGCTCTTCCCGGGCGAGGCAGATCAGTCGCCGGCTTCTGGATGGCCGCTCACGCTGGCTGCTGGCTACACAGGGTAGCTCATGGCTCAGCTCGGGCCAGGACTTAAACCGCTGTTGCTCAGAGCTCGTACTCTTGAGCAAGCTCTTAACCAACTCAGCCACTTGGCCGGCCCTCTAATTTAAAATTTTAAGGGAGAGGTACAAGTTTCTTGTGAACCTGCAGGGTCTTGATTGCCTTCAACTCAAAATAATTCACATGCCAAAGTGGCACATCTTTGGGAGGCCTGTTCTGAACCCTTTCAGTGAAAAGGGTTTGTTATGAATACAAAAGATGCTCCTTTCACTGTTACTGCTCTGGAGCTAGTTCCAGAACTAAGGACAAAATCAAATATTATAGCAAAAGATTGCTCTTATCTTAGGAAATTACAAGGGACTTAGGAACTCTGTGCCAGGAACCAGGGAGGAAGACCAAATATATATTTCTTAGTCTATCACAATATCATCTAAGGAAAGGGGTTTGTGGCCACATTAGGGCCAATTTTTAAAAGGCAGAGCTGTTACATGTAGTAGAGAGAAGCAAAAGGAGGGATCTGAAGGAGAAAGTGAAAATACAACACAAGTGGAAAAGAGACAAGAGACTCTTCTTTCCCAGCAGACATTTCTTTAGAAGAGTCCTATTCTTTGGAGGAT